AAGAATTCCATAAATGGTTTTTTCAATTATGAAAGGATTAAGCTTTTCAAAACTGGTGCCATCAATTTTTTTAATGATAAGGAACCGGGGTAGTAATACCACCGTCTCCAAATCACTAATTTTTCCCGTTTTTTTGGAGGTGGGAACCTCTTTGTTTTTTTTATTTGGATTAGACATTTGATTCCCACGAGTAGGCTCGGAAAAGATGTCAACTGCAGCAGAGCCGGCTTACCACATCAAGATAATATTTGCAACAGGAGGTCACCAGGTATCCGGAGGCCACCGTTCAAGACCCACTATTGCAGGGCCATGCACCTATCAGCACGGTACGGATAACACTTTGGGTTTCAGATTTTTGAGAAGCTTTACTCCTTACAAAAAGTGGTAACTGATAGCGTCGACTTCGAGCCCGGTTTTTAACGAAGATAAGTTTTTGTCAATTTGCGTTCAAATGAAAAGCAAATCATTCTCCATGTCGTTCTTTTTAATTATGGTTTTAATGAAGTTTACCGGTGTCTTCACCTTATCATTGTATCACAGGAATACTGCCTCTCCACCAAGATGTCATCCCCAACACGACAACCTCTCACCGAAGACGCCATCAAACCAAAAATCGAACGAGTATCGGGAGAGCACACAAAACACGTGCGCTCCCCACGACGAACTCGACTCGGCTCGACGAAGATGTTATTATTTTAAAAAATAAAATTTCATTTCTGAAAAATTTGCAAAAAATCATATTATATCAAAAAATAAAACCAAATTAAACTGCTGTATAGGCCTTTCTGCCCTTCATATTATAAAATTTAAAGCAAAAGGTCTTAGGCCAATAAATATTTGTAAATAAATAATATAAAAAACAATATTCTTTCAAGAATATAAAGAATAAGATTAATTTAACATTTTGGTAAAGGAAGAAGAAAAATCTGTTGGATTATAATAGTATTATTATTTAAATATATGTACAGATAGTTAAACAATAAGATTGATTACATATTATCTGATAGTTTTGGACATGTGCAAAGGTGTAAGTAATAGCTCAAAAGCGGCATCTTTCAGTTTAGCACCACGCAAGTTAGCTTCGTGGAGATCACCAGGTCTCCAGGTCTGCCAGCAAGGACGGCTCCTTTCATATCGCATCATCTTGGTGTTCTTCAAAGTAGCAACCCTAAGATTGACTCCGATCATATCCGAGCCTTCCATGTTGACCCCCTTAAGATTTACACCTTCCATATTCGATTTGTTACCCTGCGGTAATTCGAAATTGCAGTTTCTCATTTGAGCACCTTCCAAATTCGCACATAATTCTTTAACGCCCAATAGTTCAGCCCCATCAATTATATCGTAGGATAAATCCGCCCTTTCCAAACAGAACCAGCCCAGATTCACGTTCTTCAAATTGCAACCCTTCATATTTGCATTCTTGAAGTTGATGTGGCTCAAGTTCAGTCGGCTCAAATCAGCGTCGGCCAAATTGACCCCCTGAAAACGAAGTTCCGTTTTTGCGGCGCACAATGAGAGAATTACGTCTCGTCCAGTCAGAGGCGTATCATCACGATCGATTTCGACGCGTTGAATCATCTGCTCCAAGGTGGACACAATCGAATCGATTCCAAAGAAAATTTCTTCCTCCAAAATCCCCTTAAGATTGACATGGTGGTCATAAATTAGTTAGCCAGTTCTAAGGAAATTCAATATTGGTATTTCTTCAATTCTTGAAAACAGTTATCCTTCTCCCTGACATCATAATATTATTGTACTCTTAGAAACTTAAAGATGTAATATTCTAAATAATCTTATATATTCAACTGCATATCCCATAGGAACAGGTTATAAACACCAATAACACAAAAAAATAATAAATAATCTGTTGTGACAAAGCCAAGACACAATCATTATTTTATAGTTCGAATTTAACATTTGGTGAGCGCCACTTGTTCCAAGTACTAAATAATTTTAATTTTGAATATATTTCAAACAATAAACTTCTTTCCCAAAGAAAAGGACAATGAATCCAGTCTATTAGAAATGAATGCAAATTTTTAGTAGTCAAATATTTCTATATTTTAGCAACATGTTCGAAACGGTATTTTTTATTATAAAATCAATTATTGCTCTCTTATAATACAGCAACTAATAAGAAATCTTCGTTAATAACCGAAATATACAGTTTTCCATTGGTCGATGGGCATGCAACCAACAGTACAGATTTGCATAGAGGGAAAATAATTATATAATTTATTAACTTTATTTTTGGAGTAACAATGTTCTTCATAGCATTGAGCCATACATGAATGTTAAATTGTATAGGCTGATGGTAAATGATTTTTATATATGGGAATATTTTGAAATTATAAAAACCTAGAGTCATTAACTCATTAACTAGCATGCCCAGAGTTGAATACAGGTATTTCTTCGTAAGTTGGAGAAAATTTAAAAATATCATGCTCTTTTAATATATGTTAAATTCCGTATAACTGACTGCATAAATTTGAAAAAAATAGATTAAAATAAACAAAATACTTACTTACAAATACTTTTCAATGAAGACATCACAATTATTTAATAAAAAACGATAAAAGAAACAAATGCAAGAAAACAGATTGTACATCTTCCAAAAATATTATATTTTATTAAAGTCTTGTAGTTTAACTTCAGTGAGTATATTGATTCCACTATTTCCTTTGACTGTGAATCTGCTGCTATCCTTAATACTGTCATTGTCCATCGACTTGACTGAAGGCCTATATGCTGAACCTCATTCTTTTGACTGTCCATCTGTGATGAACGATGGCTCTATTGCTGCAAGCACCGAGAGGGGGATAACAAAGGGTCTGACTTGACCAGGATTTGAACCTGTGACCACTGGCACGTGGCTAGGACGACTTAACCATTCGTCTATTAGTCACCCAAATTACTTTTAATAATATAATTTTAATGATAATTGAAAGACTTCAAAGGCTTTGTTACTTTAAATTACCATTTTTTAAATTATTTTACGTAATTAATGTTCTACAAATTATAACTATAATTCATTATAATTATTCATTTCGTTTCCAGTATCAAACAGGTCTTTCTAGAAAATGAATGAAGAATTTCTTGTTGACAGTAAATGTGTTTTACAAAATGCTATAATATAATATAATATAATATAATATA